AAAAAACGTAATGTACGTATATGGGTAAGATATGTTGCCGGTGCAAGTCAGTTATTGAACTAGTTTGCAACATTTTGATGTCAAAGGTGGAGATTATCAAATGCAACTAATGGATGTTTTCTTTAACCCCTATCGAGTTAAAAACGACGATATTCTTTCGAAAATCCTATAATGAATCATAATTACACCAAAAATTGTTAATTTATTACTTTTCTAAGGGAATTTTAGAAATTCCAAAAATGATACAGAAATATATTTTTTTTGTCAAGGCTGATCCAGCCGTTTTGGAGGTTCGGAAGAAGCAAACGCAAAAGCGGATTAAATTTTAGAGCCATTAATGAATATTTGGATTGTGCATATATAAAATTATCATATCTTTACAGAAGCTTTCAATATTATTTCTGACTGATAAATATTTTTCAAAATGTTACTACAGTAATTTACTAAGGTTTACCGGTACATAGAAATTGCAATATTGTCCTCTAGTCAAACTTTTTATATATTGGAGTGAACCATTCCATGGTAAAAATTCTCATTTGGTATTCAAAAATAATCATTTTGTATATGTTAATTAATCATATTTTATAGCTATTATATATAAGCATAATTGTCATCCATACACACAAATAGTTATTTCTAATAGGCTTTGAGCATATACAATTTGCTAAAAAATATTAATACCAAGCATTTACCTTCGATTGATTATTTTATCATATTGCGAATCTTTAAAACTCTTAATGTAACAAGCCTCTAGATTTCTGTGCAATATCTATCAGGAAATAAAATTGGATTCTTAATCATTTGGAACCAATTTGGTAAAGTTGGTTTGCGTATGTGTGTATGTGAGACGATTCTTGCCTTTCATCGACGTTTTCTCAAAAACGGTTGCACCGATTTCAAATTATTTAAACTATTCTATTACTCGATCGACCAAGTCATTTCTTTGCAATTAGCAAAAGTTTTCGTCCACGATTTAGCTAAAAATCCCATTAATTAACCTACACAATGTAACGGATAACTGAAAACTCTTCATATGGCTATGTTTTCTAGAATTTTGTGTATACCTTCTATATGTTTAAATAAACTTTATTTTATGCTTTCTCTATATTTTATTCAAAATTAAGTCAACGGATAGCTATATAAAAAAAACAATTTGCTTGAAATAGTCATTCACTTTCATGCATATATGTCAAGGAAATATTCTACATTTGAAGTAATTATTCAACCCACGGTTTCGTGCAATTCTTACAAATGATTTAAACTATGCAAATCATCACGCGCGTATTTTATATGTGTACATTAAGAAATTTAAAGAATGTACTGTATTCTAAATTTAAAAAAAATGCCTACTGACAATTAGGTAGGTGTGTTCTTTTACCAATATTTTTTATAATATTCATATATCGATACTTTGTGGAGTTCATTTTCAACGTGAATGTTATTTAACTTCCCGTAGGGTAGTTATAGAAATGGGCCGAAAATCGAAAATGAAAATTTTTGCATTTCTCGACGTTTTGAAAGTTTCTGAACATTGTGGCATACCTCAGAAAAAATGGATGTGTGTGTGTGTGTTTTGTATGTCCGCATTTTTTCTTCCACGTTTTCGGGCGCACGGAACAACTGATTTGAATGGTTCAAAAAACATTCGATTCCTATTGATAGGGAGATGTGCTGATTATTTTTTGGCAAAGGCAAGTTCACCGGCTCGGAGATACGTAGCAAAGAGTGCAGAAAATAGAAATCGAGTTTTTGAAAGAACGGAGCATCCAATTTGAATGATCGAAAAACATTCAATTCGTAATGACGGAGAGAAGTGGTGGTTGGATTTTGGCAAAGGCAGATCTAGCCGCTTCGGAGATAACGAGCTAATATGCAAAAAATGCAGTTTTTGAGAGAACTGAGCATCCGATTTGAACGATTCAAAAAACTTTCTGCTTGTTTCGACAAAATAATTGCTTTTGGAAAAAAAATTATTTCAATTATTTCTCCCAATTTTTTTTTTCTCAAAATTTTTTTTTTTTTGTATATCGAAATAATTGAGATTTTAATATTAATTCTAGCTAAAGTTCTAAAGCTCACTTATATACTTTAAATAAATAATTTTAACTTTGTAATTCAGTTTATATAACTCTTATAAATATTAGACAATGTTACACTATTTATAATAATATATTCGAAAACATTTATATTTTTCGAACATTTCGTTACTGTACGGGAAGTTTCAGCAATTTGCCTTAAGGCACGATGCCATACACACTAGTTTACTTATTTCATTTAACATTTCTGATTCTGTGCAACATACAGATATGTGAGGTGTACTAATATATAATCAGTAGATCTTTTATTAATATTTTTATTACAATTGACGTGATTTACATACGTTTTATATCCATATCATGATTTTGTCTACTAATTTTGATATCCTTTACATTAAATTAGCATGTGATTAAATTGCATTGCGTGCATCGACGTTCGTATTACTATGTAGTATGTAATGTATACTTAGTCGATGTTTAATCTGATATTCATATCTTCACGTGTGACTAACATTAAAAATGTTGCTGCCGAAGTAACCTTATACTCTAATCAAGATTAGAGTTCAGCGAATCTGAGTAATAAAATTCGTTAGATTGCAACGAGAATGTAAGGAATACAATACACGAATTTGTCCATGAAACAAAATAAAACCTGCTGAAAACAGGTGCAAAGCTGAAATTTGCCAGAAAAAGGTGATGCGGTATGCTTGGTAAGATTTTAAAGGAGTTGTTCATTCAGGAGTTGGCCATTTGTCATCAGCTGGATAAACTAAATGATATATTTCAATAGAAAAGATCAGAATTAACCCACAACAAGGTATAGTCCTGCATCAAGGCGAGGCAAGACCTCACAAAAGTTTGGTCAATCGCCAGAAGCTTTTGAAGCTTAAATGGGACCCAATGACACATTCATCATATTCTCCAGATCTGCCATCATCGGACCATTATTTATTCCGGTCACTAAAAAAAATTTTTAGGCACTTTGATCAATTTTTTGCCAATAACGACCAAAATATTTATGATTTCAGAATTATAATACCAGTAGTAATAATAATATGACAAAAGATGTTGGATCAAAACTGCCAATGCATAATTTATTAAAGTAAATATTTATTGTACGAAAATTACGTGCAAAAATATCTATGAAAAACGAAGTTACTTCCGAACAAGCCAAAAGCAAGAATGAGATTACTGTTTAATACAATTATATTTGATACATAATGTTTTATTTGAAAATCGTCATGCATACCTGCTTGAGAAGATACTACTTATTCAAAAGTAAGTCCGATAAGAAAAATTCACACCAGTTTACCATTACAGTTCGAAGAAATTCTAATACTAAGAATTAGATAAAATCGTAATAAAACTTATCGTCTATTAATAAAATACAATATGAAAGAAATATATACAGTAAAAATAAATTACACACTCGCATTAGTGACATATGTTAGTAAAATAGATTAAATTTATAATAGTTCTATAGCATTCCTACCTGGAGCCATAGCAGCTCTGCTACCTGAAACAAGAAAACAGAGTAGATAGATAGACAGCCTCCACCGTAGTACATAATATAAATTAATATAATTTATTAGCACAGAGGTTCTCAATCATTTTCTATCGCTTTGAATACAATAAGGTGAAATAATTTTTATACAGTGTCCAAGAAAATGATTGAAAATCACTACATTGTTAACCCTTCACATAATCATGGAAAGATCGAATTGAATATAATTTAAATTTAAAACTGCGTAAGGAAGAACAA